CTACTACCACAAGAATACCCAAATAAAAATCAGATGCTCTACATAGCTATTGCTATATATCAGAAGCTTTTCATAGCTTTTTAATACTCCTAACAAGTCCTAATAGAAAAAGAAACAAACAAAATGTTTTCTTAACCATCTATCTAAATGTACTTTTTGCATCCTCAAACTTGGAAAGGACAAAATATCAGGCAATTTACAGACTGAGCTATTTGTGCACATATTAATCTGCTCTACTTTATAGTACTTAGTAATGTGCCCTGAACATAAAAAGCACTTAACACCAGTTATACAAAGCAATGAACTATAAATGAATCTCTAATCAATAAGTCAACATAATTAATTATGATGAACATTTACTACATCTAGTAAAATCCATATGTGAAGTAAAAGAATAGACGGACCCTGGTTGATGTGGCTCAATTGGGTGAGTATCATCCTGTGCACCAAAGGTTGCCGGTTCGATTCCCAGGGAGGGAAAGCGTAGGAAGCAGCCCATCAATGTTTCGCTCTAACATGAATGTTTCTCTTCCTCTCTCTCTCTCCCCTCCCTCTCCCTCCCTCTCTCTCTAAAAATCTATTTTAAAAAATCTTGGAAGGAAGGAAGGAAGGAAGGAAGGAAGGAAGGAAGGAAGGAAGGAAGGAAGGGATGAAACTACATACGTAAGTATGGGAAACCTCTATCATTCCCAGCCATCAATTAAGAGTTTGAAATTGTAACTAAGACGAAATACAATTAAAACTGAACAACAAAATAAACACACACAAAAAACAAGTAACAAATATCCTGACATTTACCTACATCAGCGATTATCAGTGTGCCAGAAGAATTTTTAAAACATGCAATATCTGACTATTTCATCAGGGGCACTGACCTCTTTTCCCTTAAATCAGTGGTTCTCAACCTTCCTAATGCCGCGACCCTTTAATACAGTTCCTCATGTTGTTTCATTGTTACAAATTGAACATAATTAAAGCATAGTGATTAATCACAAAAACAATATGTAATTATTGACGTGTTTTCCAAAGGTCTTTGGCGACCCCTGTGAACGAGTCGTTCGACCCCCAAAGAGGTCACGACCCACAGGTTGAGAACCATAGCCTTAGATTGTCAAATTAAAAACTGACAACAGCCAACACAATAGCCATCCAGTGTGAATGAATTAAAATTATACCTATTTTTTGTCAGTTGGTGCTGCAGAACTTTAGTCATTAGTTTCTGTGTGCCAATGAGAAGAAAAACTTTGAAAATTGCTGACCTACATCAATTCCTGGCCTATTCAAAGCCCTTTGCTTTCCACTGCAGATAACAATGGCAAGAAAATCTCATCCTTCATCAATTTTTTAAAAAAATTTTTAAAAATACCTAACTAATCTAAATCTGCCTAGCCTGGAAACAAATTTTTAATCAATTAAATTCAAAGAAACTATAAGTTAATTTCAAACATTTTGTGCCTTTTAAAAAAAATTATGTAGGCAGGCCAAATACTTAAGTCTTACTGTATAATTAAATTCAACATGATAGGCAGTTATATATACTAGTATACTGGTGACCTGGTGCACAGAGTCGTGCACACTGAAAGGAAATTAATTAGAAGGTGGCCGGTGGGGCAGGACTGGGTGAGGCAGGCCAGACACGCCCTGGAGCCAAACTCTCACAGTCCCTCTCCGGTGTCTGCAGAGTAAGAGGGGTCCCTACAGCAGGTGGGGTCCCTTGGCAGGTGGGGGTCCCTCGGCCTGGCCTGCGGGGATCAGGCCAAAATCGGGTCTCCGGCATCCCCCGAGGGGTCCTGGAGTGCGAGAGAGCACTCTGCAAAGTTGCTGTTGTACAGGGTGTGGAATGCAAACACAAGTGTGCAGTAAACCAGATTCGGGGCCAACAGTGCCCCAGCAACAACATGACCCACAGCCGAAGGTGGAATCGTGCAGCCCCGCGAGGAATTGGGCTCTCTCCTCTCTGGTTTTGGGGTGTGTCACCCAAGAACTGCGGCCGCCAAGTCACTGCAGCTTGGCAGCTCCTGCATTGAGCGTCTGCCCCCTGGTGGTCAGTGTGTGTCATAGTGACAGGTCAGACAGTAGAAGGGACACTTAGCATATCAGCCTTTTATATGCACAGGTAGGGTTCCTAGACCTGGCTGGAGATCAGGGCTGATCGAAGCCTTTCAGCTACCAGCTGGGGCCTTCCTTCCCCGGCTGTCAGCTGGGGCCTTCCTTAGTTCCATGCTATTCCCTGGTGGTCAGCACACATCATAGCGAGTGATCGAACTCTTAGTCTCCCCATCAAACTCCCGAGGGGACAATTTGCATATTAGGTTTTTATATAGAGAGAGATATCTCAGAGAATGTTATACCACAGGTAACAAGTGTATTTGGATAAGTTGTAATGTGAATCCATTTTTCTAATTAGAATGCAATGTTTATTTCATTTAATAAATATTGCAGAATCAATATTCTACCCAGAAAATAAAATCCTTTGATTTTATCTTTAAATTTGCCATAAACTTAAAGATAAAATCAGAGAAGGGCCTATCCTTCCCTCCAGAGGAGATAAAATAGGTACATAAAAAGCTAAATATAAGGTAGAAAGTGTAAATGCCATGAGATGTGCAAATAAAGCATTTCACAAGGGCAGAGGGAACTGTTACTACCTCACAGAAATATAGCCCTCTCAACCTACTTAAAGTAATTTCATAACTTTAACTTTCTCAGCCTCACAACAGCCAGCCCTGGGAGAGATGCTTTCCTCCTATCCTAGGTGTGGAAACTGAAGCACAGAAAGGTTGATCATATTCCAAAATGTCACAATTTCATTAAAGGAAGAATCGGGACTCTTTATATTATATTTTCTCTGGGGGAGTAGTTCAATACATGGCAAGGCTTTTGCAAAAGAAAATAATATTTTATTTTAATATTGCAAGTATTCACACCGTTATGTATGTATGTGCATATCATTTACATGTATGCGTTAACCTTGATTTCTAGTAACAGGTGTGCTTAAAACAAGGCAAAGCAACTGTGTACTATAAATATTAAAATAAATAAATAAACGTCCACGGGATTTTAACGAAGTAAGAAAGTAAAGACTATTTCTTTTTCCAACAATTTGTGGTTATTTCTTCTGTAATTTTTACCTATTTAGACATAAGATTCTAAAATTGGGCTACTCCTGAGCCCCAGCAAATTGATTCCTCCAGTAAATAACTTTATGAAAAAGTACACGAAAACATTTTGAAAAAAAACACTGAAAACTAAATCATGCCATCAGCCCTTCAGTTAGCCCACCCCATGTGACCATCAGCAGGCGCTATTGATCCCGATACGACGAACGAATGAATGAAGACTTGGTTGGCATTTTTAAATCCCAGGCCTGTTGCTCTTTGCACAGTGTTCCGCCTCCCATCGTTACCTCGCCAGGGTAAACACAAGGAATGTAAATTTCAAAATTGGGACATGACTGAGGAAGCAACTCTGATGCAGGTGAGTACACTCATTCCAAAGAGCAGAATTCCCCACCCCGCACCCCGCTCCGAGGCGAGCTGCTGGAGCAGCACCCGGCCCACATCAGCACAACTCGGGTACCAGCACATCCCTGTTCCCCCCACCCACACCTTCGGTCCTCGGCGCACCTCGTCCAGCTCATTCGAAGAATTCAAATTCGCCTTCCTCTCCATTAGGACTCATTTCTCAATTACAGTTTCTCAAATCCCTCTGACCCCCAAAAGGAGAATTCCCCGACTTGGCATCATTATTAAAGCCAATATCCAAGGCAGAAGGTACAGAGTTCCGACCTTTGCCATCTCCACCGCGACCCGCCCTTCGCCATTCCTCTCCCGGGTGATCTGCTTAGAAAGGCGAACTAGTTCGCTCCTCACGCGCTCGTCCCTCGCTGTCACCCTCCCGCACCCTCCTCTCCCGGCCGCCCATTGAGTCTGCATGCCGACGCTCTATCCACTGAGCCAAACCGGTTAGGGCTATGGGTGACATTCTTTAGGGAAGGCGGAGGGGTGGGAGGGGGGCTCCACGTTTGTTCACGGCCAGAGGCCTCGCACTAGAGCAGTGCCTGGTACCTAGGAGACTGACCGTGTGGGATGGATGGCCACACGTCTATAGTCGCTCCACATTTATCTGTGAGGCCCGCAGACGGAATCTTCCTGAATAAAGGCATCTTTATAGAAACAGAGCGCTCGGAGGCATAGAGATGCATTGTGTCCCCGTTGCCTGTGAGGGCACAGTGCTGTAGGGATGGCTGTATTTGTGTCGACAGTGTGTCCAGATGACAGGCGAACAATGGCCAGCAGTCACGGAAGGCAGGGACAATGCCACGCTGTTTACGGTTTCCTTGCCCGGCACCCTGTTTGCCTCTGTGGGCGCCGTTTCTTTCCAGCCGCCGTTAACCCCTGTGTGATTGGTGGACTCTTTCTAGAAACGGCCACCGTGGGCCGACTTTTCTATCGCTGACATGGTAGAGCCTAAAACGGGGCGCTCAGATGTATAAACGGCCCTTGTACCTGGAGGGGTGGCCCGTGCCTGGATCCGGGCAGCCTCAGCCTACGCCCAGCTGCACCTCTGCCCAGGCCCGCCCACAGCATGCGCCCACTTACTCCATCTAGACCCCACAGGCTGGGAGCTGGACGGGTGCACGTCGACCTACCCAGGTGTCTCCCAGGGCTCCGGCTGTAACTCGCGCCAAGGCTTCACTGAAAAGCGAACAGGCGATGCCTATTTGTCCTTGATGTCAGTCCGTACTCTAGCCACTCGGAGCCTGTGACCCTGGCGACCACAAAGTGCGCCCTCAGCCTCACTCTGACGGTGAAACGATCGGACTGTGTCAGGACGAGGGTAGAAACTGACAGGAAGGAGCTCGGTCCCGAGCTGTCGCCGTCCTCGTAAACGCTACGTAAAGTAGAGGGAACTCCGTAGGTGCCGGGAGGCGACCGTGCAAGCCCATCCCAGGCACCCGATCTTTCAAACCTCACGCCGTCGGAGCGGCTTGGCGGGACGGACCGCAACTCGGAACGCAATTTGCGCGGAGCGTGGTTTCCCCCCGAGCCGGCTCCGGGGCACCTGTCCCTTTGACGCAGGCGCTGTGCCCCTCAGACGGCATGGAAGCCGTGGGTGTTGTGTGTGTGGCGGTGGCCCTCCTAGCACCGTGCATCTTCTGGGCTTGGCACTTCTTGGAACGAATGAAGAGTCAGGTGCAGGCTGGCCTGTTGGGAAGAGGAAGCCGGGCCCTCCTGGTGATCGCGCACCCCGACGACGAAGCCATGTTCTTTGCTCCCACTTTGCTAGGCTTGGCCCGCCTGAGGCACCCGGTGTTCCTGCTCTGCTTCTCTGCAGGTAGGAGGCTGCCGGCGGGGCGCTGGGACACGGGGCTGTGAAGGATGTTTAAGTGCTTACCCATCTCAGTCGAGTTTTGCCCAAAGGATTCTCTGTTGTAGAGAGTTAACGAAATATACCCCGAAAGTCGCTTCTCTGGGCGCTTCACGGAGAGGCGGTGGCTCCAGCCTCGGGACTGCAGCGGCCGGTTTCCCAGGTTGTTGAGGGGCGTCCTCAGCTTTCGCACTCCGCTAGCAAGATCACGCACAAGGGAACTGCTCACATCTGATTCCATCCAATACCCACATTTCCTTTGGAAAATGGGACTGTACTCATTCTGTGGAGCCTTTGTATTTGCAGAAGGACCAAGAATAATGATCCTACCATAGTACCGAAACAGAATCTAGTTATATCATGCCTGCTCAATCCTGAAATTTTTATAGATAATTTTATAGTTCAGGGAAGGGGACTTCCAAAGAATAAGCCCTCCTTTACCAAACAGAAAAGGTGGAATGAGACCATGATCCTGGATTATGGCGATAATCGCACAATGTACAAATGAAGTAGTCGAACTGTACATATACAATGGGTGAATTTTTATGGTATGTAAAATTGTACCTCAATAAAGCTGTTCTTAACAAATGCCCACAACCTCTTTTTCCCATTTCATGGTGTGTCATTCCAGTTCTTTTTATAGACAGATTTTTCACAGAAATAACATTTAATATAATTTTTTCCACTGAACATTTTTCTTTCATTTACCAAATCTATAATAATAAAAGCATAATGTATGCTAATTAGACCAGTCAGCCGAATGACCTTATGGACAAAGCCGCAGAGGCCACAGCAGAGGTGGTTAGGGCCAATCAGGCAGGCAGGCAGGTGAGCGGTTAGAAGCCAGGATCCCAGATGTGGCCTCTAATATTTAATAAAAATGTATGTGTACTACACTTAGAATGGCCAAAATCTGGAACACTGACAACACCAAATGCTAGTGAAGATGTAGAGCAACAGGAACTCTCAGTTATTAAGGGTAGGAACGTAAGATGGTTCAGGCACTCTGGAAGGCAGTTAATTTGGCAGTTTCTTAGAAGACTAAACATACTCTTACCAAACCATCAGCAATTACTCTACTTGGTATTTATTTACACAAAGGAGTTGAAAGCATATCCATGCAAAACCCTACACACAGTTGTTTATAGCACCTATTCATAATTGCCAAAACTTGGAAGCAATTAAGATGTTCTTCAGTAGGTGAAATAAATTAATACATCCAGGCAATGGACTATTAGTGCTAAGAGAAATGAGCTGTCAAGCCATGAAAAGGCATGGAGTAACCCTAAATGCATATTACTAAGTGAAAGAAAACAACCTGAAAAGGCTACACAGTGTATGATTCCAATGAAATGATATTCTGGAAAAGGCAAAACTATGGGGACAGTAAAAGGATCATTGTTTTCCAGGGGTTGAGATGGTAGGAAAGATGAATAACTAGATGGAGCACAGAGGAGTTTTTTAAGGCAGTGAAAATACTGTATGATATTTTAATGATGGATATATGCCCTTATGCATTGTCCAAACCCATGCAATGTACAATACCAGGAGTAAACTCTAATGTAACTATGGGCTTAGGGTGGCAATGATATAGGTTTATCAGCTGTAACAAATGTAACACTCTGATGGGAAATGTTGATAATGGAGAAGGCTATGTATATGTGGAGACAGGGTAAATGGCAAGGAAAATCTCTATACCGTCCCCTTAATTTTGCTGTGAACCTAACAGCTTTATAAAGAATAAAGTTTTAGCCCTAACCGGTTTGGCTCAGTGGATAGAGCGTCAGCCTGCGGACTCAAGGGTCCCAGGTTCGATTCCAGTCAAGGGCATGTGTCTTGGTTGCGGGCATATCCCCAGTAGGGAGTGTGCAGGAGGCAGCTGATCGATGTTTCTCTCTCATCGATGTTTCTAACTCTCTATCCCTCTCCCTTCCTCTCTGTAAAAAATCAATAAAATATTTTTAAAAAAAGAATAAAGTTTTAATTTAAAAAATTGTATGCTAGGCCTTGTGCTATTCCCTAGGAATAAATAGTAAAACCAAGCTAGATAAGGACCACGTCCTTGTGAAACTTATAATTTAAACATTTACCCATATTAATAAGAACTAGTATATATCCTTTTAAATAGTCTCATAGAGATAAATCTTAATTTAGTCATCCCTTATTGTATGTCTATTTAGGAATGTTGTTTTTTCAGTTTATCTCCATTACAAATAACAGCAAACATCTATATGTATTCCATAGTAATTTATTAGGACTGATTTCTAAAGTTGGTTGTTTTAAAGCTTTTCATGCAAATTATATTCCCAAAAATATACCAACTTATAGTCTCACTGGCTGGTAATGAGAATCTGTCTTTTTTTTTTTTTAATGGAATTTATTGGGGTGACACTGGTTAACAAAATTATACAGGTTTCAGGTGCACATATCTATACACTATATTGCATGTTCACCACCCTAAATCAAGTCTCCCTCACCATTTATCCCCCATATACTCCTCCACTTTCTCCCAACAACCCCCTCCCTGCCGCAGCCCACAATCACCACACTATTGTCCCCATCCATGAGTGTTTTATCCTTTTTTTTTTGCTTGATCCCTCCACCACCCCACCCAGACCCCCAACCGCCAACCTATCCGCAACAGCTGTCAACCTGCTCTCTATGAAACTGTCTCTGTTTTGCTTGTTAGTTCACTTTGTTCATTAGATTCCACATATGAGTGAAATCACATGGTACTAGTCTTTCTCTGACTGGCTTATTTCATTCAGCATAATACTCTCCAAATCCATCCATGCTGTTGCAAAGGTAAGATCCTTCTTTTTTATGGCCAAGTAGTATTCCATTGTGTAAATGCACCACAGCTTTTTTACCCAATCATCTACTGATGAACACCTGGGCTGCTTCCAAATCTTGGCCATTGTAAATGCTGCAAGTAATATAAGGGTGTATATGTTCTTTCGAATTAGCGTTTCAGGTTTTCTTGGATAAATTCCCAGAAGTGTAATCACTGGTTCATAAGGCAGTTCCATTTTTAGTTTTTTAAGGTGATTCCATACTGCTCTCCATAGTGATGGAGAATACACCAATCTGTATTCCCACCAATAGTGCACAAGGATTCCCTTTTCTCCACATCCTCTCCAACATTTGTTATTTGTTGGTTTATTGATGATAACCATTCC